CTTAGGCAAAGATGCGGACTATGGCTTCCCGTGCTAGCCTCTAGGGTATGGGAAGCTTCCTCAACTGTTCATATTATTTTACAAATTCTTCATAAGATCTTACATAGAACTAAAAGGTGTATTGGCCTTTTAATAGCAGCCATAATGGGAATAATAGCTATAACCACTGTTGCTGCTGTCTCTGGGGTGGCTCTTCACCAGATGGTGCAGACTACTCAATTTGTACAACAATGGCATGAAAATGCAAGTAAAACTTGGAATCAGCAATTGAGAATTGATCAAGAAATCAGTGTATGGCTGGCTGATTTAGAAACAACTGTTGTCTCTCTTGGCGATCAATTGGAAAGTCTCCAGACTATGATTACTTTAAAGTGTGATTGGAATATTTCCACTTATTGTGTAACTTCTTTTCCTTACAACCAGACATGTACCCTGTGGTCTGAGGTATGAGCTCATCTTATGGGACATATGCCCAATTTGACTGTAGATGTTTTGCAGTTACAAGAAGAAGTGGATCAGATGTCATCTGCTAATCTCCAGCTCCTCCCGGAAAAAAATGCCCTTTTCGTGGCTGCGGAAGGATTTTCTACTCTGATCCCACTCACACGGGTGAAAAACCTTGGTAGAGGTTTTTGCTGGTGCTTTTGCACTCCTATTAATCATTCTATTTCTGTTTTGTCTAGTCCTCCAGTGTGGACAACAAGCCCTCTGACGGGCCATAGATGAAGAAACTGCAAAGTCCGTGTTTCTCCTTCTACGAAAACAGAAAAGGGGAGATGTTGCCTTATAGCTACGTCCATGACCGCCCCCCCTCACCCCCATGTAATGTCCAGCACGACAAGGGCAGTGAAAGAACTAGAGGGGGCGGCAAAGGGTTAAGAAAGAAAAGAAATAGCAGCCAAGATTTAAATGAAAGCAGGGTCAAGGGTCTCCAGCCTCACAGGACTAAGAGCCCCCAATCAGGCCAACACGCAGCTTTTATGTCTCCACCTACCCGGAAGTAGCATTGTTGTCTTCACAGTCTGTGAGTCTCATTTCTGAGAACTTGTTCATTCCGGATTACCCATGCCTGCAGAAAGTCTGCCTGCATGACCAGACAAATGCTCTGCCTTCACACACCCATATGCACATGACCCCAGAGAGATAAGATTATTATGCTGAGGACAGAAACTGTCACATCATTTGGTCACTTCCCAAGCAGGTTGCCGGAAGGAATGTAGCTAAAGAGGTAGAAGACCTCCAGTCTCCTTGAGGGCGGGTGAGGACCTATGCCCACCTCCATCAGCCCCAAAATTTCTCCTGATGGCCCCCATGCGACTGTGCCTGTCTTAGGTTGTTCCTTCCTCGAGGAATCTTACCCATCATTGGCTAACCAGCCATCTTTTGGGGAAACGCAAGGTGAATGAGCAGTGTCCTCAAAAGGGTCAGTTTAGGGGTAAGCGCGGGGGGACAGACGGCTGGACAGCTGTGTGGCAACACCCCCGCACTAACCCCTGACCTAATGAGGTCCTGAGGTAGTGTCTCGGAATGCTGAGACCCGATGGAATGATATCAGTCATCTCCCTTATTTGGATGGACGTGGTACAGTAACGCTGTCCTGGGGGTTGTGCAGGTTGTACGAAGGCATCGTACATGTTGGAGTACAATGGGAGCTGGTTAATGGAAAACAGCCTTAAGGCACGTAGCACACGGATCTTTGAGTAATTCAATTTCACTTCCTTTGAAATTTTCTCAATAAAAGCCATGCGAAGAACCGATTCGGGGCTCAGTCCACGAGGCTGATGCCCCCTGGTCCCACTTTAGCCTTATCTCTGTCTCTTGTGCTCTTTAACTCTGTGCCATCCCTCTTGTTTCCCACTGCTCTTGCCACACAGGATGTGACAACTCACAGAATGAATCTTTCTAGAGAAAGCAAGGCAGGCTTCCCAAGAAAGTCTACAAATGGTTTGCAAGAGCAAGGACAGGAAATTGGCATGGAATTTTTATGGCAGAGGCCTACTTGGTTTAAATTTCCTGCTAATACCAAAGGAGGGAGCACTTGAGCTTACCCAGAAGTAGAGCACAGGAGGAAGGAGTGAAGCTTTAAAGCTATGAGCAGCCGCTTCTGCCACTCCTGGTGCTGCTTGTACAAGTATATACCACGTTTTGTTTTATCCATTCATCTGTTGATGGCCACTTGGGTTGTTTCCACTTTTTGGCTATTTTGAATAATGCTGTAGCAAACATTGGAATACAAGTATCTGTTCAAGTCTCTGCTTTCAGTTTCTTTGGCTATATACCTTGGTGTTGGGATCTGGCTGGGATCAGCCAGGGACACTGAGGCTTTAGGTTGGCAAGCTTGGGTCTCCAGGTAGATACAGGCCTGGGGTGAGCGGCCTTGGAGCAGTTTGGTGGGGACCTTTGGGACAGTGCTTCTGCCTTAAGCTGCTTCCAGATAATGCAAGTGCAAAGAGTAAAGATCCCAGCTTGCTGATAGGAAAAGCTTATAGACAAAGAGACTCAGTTGCTCATGGACTATGGACTTGCAGTTTCAATATGCATCACACGTTTGGGACTTTCTACTGTGGGCTTGTTGACAGTTTCTATTTGCCTCAGTTTAACCTTGCCTAGCTATATTATTGGTTTATATTGAGTATAACATGGCTTGTTGCTGAGGAGAAATTATTTCTCCTCAGTCCATAAGTTTTAGCTTTAGGGAATTGCTCCTTAGAGTGAGGAAATCGCTTCCCCTTAAAAACCTTGTATTTCCAATAAACGGGGTTCTTAGTCTTACCAGCAGGCTGAGGCCCTCCTGCTCCCAGCTTTTGTCTCTCTTCTCTTTATTTCTCGTCTTCCACCCAATCCTCTCAGGGACCCTCTAGATACCTGGCGTGTGCAAGCCAGGTAGCCACTGGGATGAGCTGGTCTTGTTCACCTAGGAGTGTAATTGCAGGAACATTTGGTAATTCCACGTTAAGCTTTTTGAGGAATTGCCAAATTGTTTTCCATAGCAGCTGCACCATTTCATGTTCTCACCATTATTGTACTAGGGTTCCAAGTACTACACATTTTCACCAACACTTATTTTCAGTTTTTTTGATAATTCCCATCCTAGTAGGTTTAAAGAGGTTACTTACAGTTTTATTTGCAGTTCCTAATTACTAATGACGTTGAGCATCTTTTTATGTGTTTATTGGCCATTTGCCCATCTTCTTTAAAGAAATATATATTCAGGTCCTTTTCTCATTTTTCAGTTGGGCTGTATGTGTTTTCTGTTGAGCTTTAGGAGTTCTTTATATATTAATTGGTTATTAAACTCTTATTAAATATATGATTTTAAGTATTTTCACTCATTCTGTAAGTTTTTTTCACTTTCTTCATTATGTCATTTGATGCACAAAATTTTTTAATTTAGATGAAGTCCAATTTATTTTTTATGTGGTTGCTTATGCTTTTGGTGTCATATTTAAGAATCCATTGCTAAATCCAAGGTCATTTCAGCTTTCTTTACACAGCATTAACATGGTGTATCTTTTTCCATCCTTGTATTTTTAACCTATTGGTATAGTTATATTTAAGGTGAATTTCTTCTAGGCAGCATAAGGTTGAGTCATGCTTTTTTATCCAATTTGATACTCAGTGCCTCTTGAGATATTCAGATCACTTATATTTAATCTGATTATTGATATAAACCTTCCATCCTGAAATTTGTTTCCCATCTGTTATTTGTTCTCTTTTCTTCTTTCTGATTTCATTTGGATTGAGTATTTTTATGATTTCATTTTATCTCCTTTGTTGGATTATTAACTATAACACTTTGTTAGTTTAGTGGTTGCTTTAGAGCTTAAGAGTTTACATATTTCACTAATCACAGTGTTCGTTCAAGTGATATATTACTTCACATAAAATATGGGAACATTATAATAGTTTATTTCCATTTACTCTTCTTCTTCTGGACTTTGTGCTGTTGTTGTCATACAATTTGCTTCTATATATGTACCCCCTGAACTACATTGTTTTTATTTTTGCTTAAACAGTAATTTATCTTTTGGGGAGATTGAAATAATATAAAAAGTCTTACATGTTTACCCTGTAGTTACTATCCCTGGTGCTCTTCATTCCCTGTGTGAATCCAGATATCTGTTTGTTATCCAATTACACATATATTAACCTTCTTGAGATTGCACTTCCACTTGCTAATATCCTGTTTGCAAATTTTTAAAGATTATTTTCTCTGTGTCTATCCCAGCACCTCAAAGAGCATCTGGCACACAGTAGGTGCTTTCTAATCAGATACCACAGCAAAGAATTCCACACACAAACCCACATCCATTAGTCTAATCCTCATGGTCTGTCACACATACTATCATATCACTCTCCTACTCCACTCTCCACCACTGTGTCCCTTTCTACTATAGCACATTCTCAGAGGTAACATCACAAATGTCACACACACAATCACACACGGTCACAGAAATGCATGCAGCATGCCCACCCCAACATAGTTTTACATATAGTTAACCTCATAGAAACACACACACACAATGACCCAATGAAAGGGTCATGCACCAACTCAGAAAATCACAGTCTGGCAACAGAAACTTGTGGGGAGACAATAAACAAAAAGCCTTAAAATATAAACACTATTGTTCCAAGGGGCTATAGAGTCACATTAAGGAGCCGTGAAGTGCCAGTGGAGAGATGTGATCAGGGAAAGCCTCTTTGGAGATGTGACATTTGTATCATAAGAAATAAGGGAACTTTGAAGATACAGAAGAGCTATTTTGGGAAGAGGGGAATACATTCACACCCAGCATTACCAAATCGAAATACAGGAACCATATACAAACGGAACGCTCTCTATCCTGCCCGCGTCCCTCACGTCTGAAAGGTAAGCCTTTCTGGGAGCCGGAACGCCCTAGAGGGAGGAACTGGGAGAAAGTATAAAGCGTCTGCGCACTCTAATCCCTGCTCCCCCCACCCACCTACTTTTTTCGGTTACCCTTAAGCAATTCTAGGAGCTAGACCTTCACCCGCTTCGTGTAGACGCGCGAGCACCACGCCGCACACAGACCCCGCCCCCTGCGGCTAACGGGCTGCTCTCGCCTTCAGCCCTGTTGCTAAGGACGGGGACCGAGCACTTGTGCCTGCGCTCTTCAATCCCAGACCGTGTAGGGTGATACTTGGCTCAGTCCCTAGCGGCCCCAGGCTCGGCGTTGAACGGAATCAGGACTTCAGGCATCCTTTTGGAAGGTCTGGGAGAGGCCGACGTGGGGACCCCGGGCAGAGGGAGCGGTATTTCCAACCCCTAGCGCGGTGCGGTTAGACTGCAGCGCCGCGGTTTTTTTTTTCTGGTCTGGACTACATTTCCCAGTGGACCCCGCGAGCACTGGGCGAGCGCCGGGCCCCTTTGTGCCCTCCGGAGGCCGTATCGCTTCTTACCGGGCCCGCGGGGGCTGGGTTCCATCAGACTCAAAGGGCAGTAGGTGGGCCCGAGTTTTCAGGGCGGGGACGGGATCTTCTTGCAGTTCGGTTCTGCAGGTAGGGAGTGGGCTGAGGAGTGGCCTATGGGTCGCCCGGACGCCGGTCCCCGGGCCCTCTGTGTGACTACGTGTGAGAGTCCCTGGGCCCTCTGTGTGACTACGTGTGAGACTGTCACCCGATATGCCTGTACACACCGTATCTGTGTGACTATGGGTGCGAGTAAGTCAGTGGTTGGTGCCTTAGAGTGTGAGACTGTGAGGGGCGGGAGGGAGGGTATTTTCTGTCCCCTTGTTGCCATACCTTCGGCCTCTTTGTGACTGGCGTGTGTGAGACCGTCGTTTGTAATACCCTAATATTTGAGGCTTGGGGGTATGAGAGAGGGTGACTGTGTGAGGCTGTGTCCATATCCATGGCCACTGACTATGATGTGTGTAAAAACGGTGTTTGATGCTCTAGTTTTTAAGAATTGTGAGTATGTGGGGGGGATTCAGTCAGATTGTGTGCCACCACTGATCTATTGGAGAGGACTGTAGAGTCAGGACGACCTTTATTTGAACTTGATGCTGTTATTTATTAGTTGTGAAGACAAAAAACATCCAGTTTAAGAGAAAGCTTATAAGAGTTTATTTGAGCCAAACTAATGACAATTGCCAGGAAGCAAAGTATCAGCAGATTGAGAAAATGCTCCGGAAAATGGCTGTTTTGCAACTTATTTTATACATTAGAATCAAAGGAAGAGGGTTACATGAAATCCATTGGTGGTAGATTAAGGGGGTGGGAGAGAGCAAAACCGGAAAAATCTCTGGGATTGGATAAAAGTAAATTGGAGAGACAGGTACTTCTTTTACATAGGTGGGTACAGGATAGTTAATAGTTCACTTTTTAGAGCACACAGAGATGTTAATCAGGGGACAAGAATAATAATGAGGCATTCTGTAGTTGCCCGCTCTGATCCAGAAAAGGGGATTACTGGCATTCCAAGGATGTTATCCGAGATACAAAAAGACAATAGACAGGCTCACATAAGGTGAAGATTGACTTTATGAAGGTAAGCTTCAGGCTAAAGATGTGACTTCCCACCATGGCCCACCTTAGTTATGAGGTTTTTTGTTTTTTTTATGTTCACACCATTTTATATGGTAATTTTCAGTTTCCTGAGCTTGTCAGATTTAACCTGTCTTCAGCTGTGTGTCTTTATATACATGATTACATTCCTCGGAGTTCTTGTTTGTAAAATCTAGAAAAATCTATTAGAATAATAAATTAGGAAGTGATGTAGACATGAATTAAATTGTATGCAAACAAATTCCCAGGTCTCCATTATGCTTTCTCTCTATTGGAGAGGATGCTCCTTCTCTTAACAGGAGGAAAGAGATGCAGCAAACTTCTGGGCTGGTGATTTTGGATGCTGCAAGGAAAGCCTAGTTTCTGATGTTCTCTTCCCCATCTCCGTCATCTAAGGACACTGCCATTTCCCAAGAGAAGAGTCAAGAGGAGGAAAAAATGGCTGTTGGACTTCTTAAAGCCATGTACCGGGTGAGTTGGTGTTTTGTCTTTCCTGAAATATTTTTCTGCTTTTTAAAACAGCAGACATTAATTCTCCTTCTGCTGAAACTTTTCTGGGTAACCAATTATATTACTTCTGAAAACCCTTCAATGGATTCCCACCCATTCAGGATAAATGCTCAAGTCTTTGTCTTGGCCTGCAAGGTCCTATATAATCTGGTCCTTGACTATCCCTCTCCCCTCATCTACTTTTTTTTACTCTGCCTGTAACCTCATCAGTTCCAGCCACACTAGCTTCCTTTTAGTGAGTTAAATTCATTCTTAACTCATGGCCTTGCCCTTGCTGTTTCCTCTGCCTAGAAGGCTGTTCTCCTAGATACAGACCAACTTCAGTCTAGTCTCTGCCCAAACATTCATTCATTCAATAAATTGTATCAAATGACCAATAATGAAGTCTGTTCTTGCCTTTACTTTTTTTAATTTTGTAAAAAAACAAATTTTACACACACACACACACACACACACACACACACACACACACGGTATATTAGTTTCATCAGCAAGTGGTCACATTATAGAAACCTGGAATCCAAGTGACTCACTGCATGGCTCCAAGTTTTTAAGAACTTTGCCCAGGCCACTTAAGCAGAAGTAGTATTATGAGTGGAATGCCCGTTTCTTTACATAAAATTTAAAGTACTCTGGATTGAAGTATTTGAATTTTAATGGAATTGATTTGCTCTGCTTGGTCTAGCATATTTCTCAGAGATATAGCAAGTGTTTTTGGGTCTCATTTTTAATCCTCTTATAGCTTCCTGAACTTTTCAAACCATTCGTTTATTTTTTTATTTTTTATTTTTTTAAAAGATTTTATTGGGGAATTGGGGAAGGGGAATAGCCAAGTTGTTGTCCTTCAATCTTAGTTGTGGAGAGCACAATTAGCTCAGCTCCAAGTCCAGTCACCATCTGGCCCCCGTCAGCAGCTCAGGGCAGCTCAGCTCAAAGTGCTGTGTTCAGTCTTAGTTGTGGGTGGGCATAGCTCACCTTCCCATGCGGGAGTCGAACCAGCAACCTTGTTGTTAGGAGCACATGCTCTCACCAGCTGAGCCATCTTGCCACCTATTGGCAGCTCAGCGGCAGCTCAGCTGGGATGCAGCTCACTGGCCCATGTGGAAATTGAACTGGCGACACTGTTGCTCAGAGCTCACTCTTAATCAACTGAGTCACTCGGCCGGCTCAACCATTCATTTATTAATTCTGTTTATTCAGTGAATATTTGAATAGGTCATGTGTGCCAGATACTGTTCTGTAACTGGGAATATAGCAGTGACCAAAACAAAAATAATTTTGCCCTCATGGAGCATATATTTTAGCGGAGGTGGTGGACAGACAATAAATAACAAAATAATTGAGTGCCATAGAGAAAAATAACACAGGATTAGGGGAATAGGAAATGGGTAGGAGCACTGCTATTTTTATACAGAATGATCCGAGAAGTACAAAAGCCCTGAGGGGGTACATGCTTGACAAATCTGAAGATATAATATCAGGGAGCGCCCAGTGTGACTGGGGCAGAATGAATGTGGTGAGTATGATAAGATATGAAGTTATTTCACTTCATTTATTTCATTTCAGGAGTTGGTGACCTTCAGAGATGTGGCTGTAGACTTCTCCCAAGAGGAGTGGAATTGTCTAAATTCTTCTCAAAGGCATCTGTACAGTAATGTGATGTTGGAGAACTATAGGATCTTGGTATCACTGGGTAAGAATATTTTGCAGAATTGAGCTTCTGTTCATAAGAGGCGCTTTGGTACCACCATTAAAAATTTTTGGATAGCATCTACAGTGCTTGGCTGAATGTGCTACCTGTGCCAAATCTATTCTAGATTTTAATATTTGTGGAGTTGGCAATGGACAGGTCTATTATTAATCTATGTCAGAAGCTTAAGCTTCCCTATCCTTTGAATACATGTCCTTGACACATTTTTCTCGCGTTTACTGTTAAGTTCCCTCTTCCCTGATGATCAAAAGATTGGATTTGAGTTTTAGGATATCCACAGCATGACCAAATTCTGTTCCTTTTCATACATGCAGGACTTTGCTTTTCTAAGCCAAATGTGATACTATTGTTGGAACAAGGGAAAGAGCCCTGGATGGTGAAGAGAGGGCTGGCAAAAGGCTTGTGCTCAGGTGGGTGAAGAAGAAATACAAGTAGGCAGGCAGAAACCTTTGCAGGTGACAGCTCAGCTGGACTCAGAGGCATCACCTCTTTACTTTTCTTTATTGGCATGTTCTAGGTCTTAGTAGAAAATGGGAACCTTTTAGAGTGTTCTTCCAAATTTATTATTCATGTCTCACCTTTAACACGTTAATCCTCTTCTTTCTAATAACTCATGTGTTCTCTGAGTCCCATTCCTTCCCATTTTCATAAGCCTCTTCCAGGTTTTGAAAAAGTCTTTTCCTAATCTGACAAACTTTTGAGCTCGACACACAGCTATAACTGATGTACCAGATCCTGATACTTACATGCAGTGAAATTTAGAGCAAGTTACTTAACCTCTCTGTGCTTTTGTTTTGTCATCTGTAAAATAGGATAATACTTTTTAAGTGCTTTGAACAGTTCCTATCATTATAAATTCAATAGCTGTTAGCTGCCTCATTTTTCTCTTAATGGTCAGTTCATTCATCCCTTTAATCAACATATATTGAAATTGTACTTTAAACAAAGTACTTGCAAGATACTAGGGTGTTATACATTTATATAAATAAACAACAGGCTAGCAGCAGGGTTATGATATAGCTATAAATGGAATATATGAAGAAAAGGTGACGTAAATGGGAAGCTCAGAAAAAAAGATGAGAGGCAGAGGAGTCTGGGTTACTGAGAAAATGATGGTCTTTAACAAAAACACAGGTCAGAAGCTAGAAAACATTTGAGGGTGAAGATAGTCAGAGTTTATTTTAGTATAAGATAAGGGAGGATTTTTATACAGACATAAGCATTAAGGTAAAATGGAGGACTGAAGTTCAGAAGAAATTCGGGGTCATTATAGTCACCTCTGTTAACACCACTCTCTAACTCACCACCCCCTGCATCTCTCCCCGATCTTTTATGTCCTTGTTTAGTTTTCTGAGAAAAAAAATTTGATGTAGAGTCGTAGTGTCAAATATGTATGGTTAAATTTTGTTTATTTATTATTAAATAAATCACACACATAAACATATATTAGCATATATGTGTAGTTTAAATAATAATAGAGCAAAAGCCCACAAACCTACTTCTTTGTGTGAGAAATAAAAAATTGTCAATGCCATTTTAGGCCTAATGATATGTCACTTCTTACCCATGACTCAAACCCACCCCTCACTGGGGTAACCATTATCCTACAATTTTGCTTATCATTTTTTGGCTCTTCTTTATGGTTGTACCATATATCCCTATTTTCAACTTTTTATACATGGAAATATATTGTATGTAATTCTGATTTTTTTAAAACTCAAAATTATATTCCTGAGGTTCATCCATGTTGATTGTACTAGCAGCTATGGTTCACTGAACTTTCTTTCCTGCTGAAATGTAATGTAGTCCACTGCGTAAACCACACTTTATCCATTGAAAGTATTTTAAGTCGTTTCAGTTTTATGCTACTGTATGTTACTGCTATGACCTTATTCATATGACTGCTGGTGCACATATGCTGGAGTTCGTTTAGAGAATACAGCCAGGAATTTACTAGATCAGGGCTGGGCAAACTTTTGACACCAAATAGCCACCAGAGGTCAGCAAACTGCGGCTTGTGAGCCACATACGGCTCTTTGGGTACGTACATGTGGCTCTGAAGTAAAATTGAAAATGGAAATAAAACTATCATAGTTTCATTTATAAAATTTTTAAAGGATATTATTCACATAATGGTGATTTCATTTGTTTTATGGCTCTCGAATAATTTTTAATTGTTGTGAGGGACAGGATTGGCTCTTCCAGGGGTTGGCAAACTTTTGAGACGAAACGTACCCAAAGAGTCGCATGTGGCTCTCAAGCCGCAGTTTGCCAACCCCTGTACTAGCTAATGCTATTTTACTTTCCAAAGTGCTTGTACTAATTTACATTTCTAACAGCTGTATGTGTGATTGCTTATTGCTGCACGCTTAAAAATTTTTTGCTAACCTGCTGGGTGTGAAATATTATCTCCTTATACTTGTAATCTGAATTCCTTTGATTACTAAAGAAATTTTGTATCTTTTCATATATATAATGGCCATTCAGATTTCCACTTTAGTGAGGTGCCTGTTCAAGTCTTTTGCCCATTTTGGGGAAGGCTATCTTGTATTTGTAGTTTATATTTTTGATATTTTGTTTTGAGAAACCTTTCTATAATCCAAAGTCATATAGATACTCTCAAATTGTCTTCTAAAGATTTTCCTTTTGTATTTAGGGCCATAATACACTTGAACTTGATTTTGAGATTGAAGTAAGAATTTAGTTTTAGTGCCTTATGGAAAACCAAATGTCCCAGATATTTATTGAATAAATGAGCTCTCTTTGCTCATTGTTCTGAATGTTACCTCTTAATCCATCAGGTTATAGTATATTTATGGCTCTGATTTTGAGCTCTATTCCATTCCATTGATCTCTGTTTTCTTATGCCAGTACCAGCCTTGTCTTAATTAAAATACTTTATTATGATTGTCTGTTATGGTAGGTCCCTACACCTTGTTCATGTTCTGTAGAATCTCTTGTTTGCTCTTTGGCCATCAAAATAAAGTTTAGGGTCATCTTGTCAATTTCTACCAGAAAACAACAAAAAGCTATTGGCCTTTTTTTTTTTTTTTAAATATTTTATTGGGGAAGGGAAACAGTGTGTTTTTCCAGGACCCATCAGCTCCAAGTCAAGTCATTGCCCTTTAATCTAGTTGTGGAGGGCGCAGCTCAGCTCCAAGTCTAGTCACTGTTTTTAATTTAGTTGCATCCCATGTGGGAATCCAACCGGCAACCTTGTTAAGAGCACGTGCTCTAAGAACACATACCCTAACCAACTGACCCATCCGGCCGCCCCAAGCTATTGGCTTTTGATTCATTTATTTATTTTATGTATCAATTTTGGAAATTTTTCCATTTATAAATGTGGTTAATCTCTCCATTAAATTTCTTTCAATTTGTTTTATTATTTTCTCTATGAAGGCCATGCACATATTCTATTAGATTAATTCCTAGTCATCGTAGTTTTGTTGCTATGTTAAATATTGTCTGTATTTTCTATTTGTTGCTCATATGTAGAAATGAAATTAAGTTTTATACATTGAGCTTGTTGTATCCAGCAGTGTTGCTAAGCTCTCCTGCTAATGATGATAATTTTTAGATTTCTTTGGATTTATTCCTGTGAGCAGATATATTTGTGAATAATGGCAGTTTCTTCATTTCAAATTCTTATTCCCTTAATTTCTTTTATTTGTTGCCCTGTCTTCCATCTCCAGTATGGTATGAACTGAAGTAGTGATAGCAGGCATTCTTGTCTACTTCTGGTATCAATCAGTGCTTTAATATTTTGTTAGTAATAATTCTGATGTTTAAACAATTTTGGTAGATACCCTTTCATTTCTGTTTACTAGATTTGATTATGGAAAGATTTTGAGTTTTAAGAAATGTTTTTCTGTATCTATAGATGATTAGATGGTTTTTAGTTTTTCTTGTGTTAATGTGGTGAATTACATACTACATTTTTAATGTTGAATCAACCTTGTCCTGAGACAAACCCATCTTTATATTTTTTTCCATTCATGGTTAGTTGCTATTTGACAATATTTTCTTTGGGTTTTTTGCATCTGTGTTTATCAATGAGGTTGTCCTTCAGTTTTTCCCTTCACATACACTTCTTATCATATTTTAGAATCAAGATTGTTCTAGTCTCATGAAATCTGTCTGTGAGTTCCTCTGTTTCTTTCTTAGAAGAATTTGTGTAAATCAAAAATTATTTGTTTTTTAAATGTTTGGTAGAACTTTATTCATCTTGGCTTGAGTTTTTTTGTGTGTGTATGAAAAGAATTTAAAGTGATAATTCAATTTCTGTTATGTTCTAAGATCCTGTGTTTTCCATTTGTCTTATAGTCATGGAGCTATTGTATTCTAAGAATTTATACTTCTCATGGAAATTTTAAAATTAATTAGATAAAGTTGTCCATTATTTCCTAAAGTTGGTAGCATATGTAATTATGGCCTTTTTTTTTTTTCCTTCCAAAAAGGGAGAAACAAATTTTTACAAGGGGTTATCAATTTTTTAGTGATTTCAGACATTTTTCACTTCATGAATCCTCTCTAATTTAGTTTCTGAAAATTTCATGCATTTATCCTCTTTATTATTTCATTCCTCCTACATTTATTTATCCTATTCTCTTTTTTTAACTTTTAAGTTGATAACTCACTGTTTTTGAGGTTTTTTCTTTTCTGTTATAAGCATTTAAGGCTATATTAGCAATATATCCCACGTGTTTTCATATGTGGTATTTTTGTTATCATGTATATCTAAGCATTTTCTAATTTTCATTGAGTTCTTCATCTTAAATTCCAAATTTAAGATTTTTGTTTGGTTTGGCTGCATTATAGTTAGAGAATGTGTCCTGTTTAACATGCATTCATTGAAATTTTTTGGAACTTGCTTTATTTCCTAGGAATTTTGGTAAATATTTAATGTTTCTTTGAAAAACGATGTCTGTTTTGTGATTGTTGAGTACAGCATTTGATATATGTTCATTGGGTTAAGCTCATTATTTTGCTGGTCAAATCTTCTGTGTCCTTAATTGATTTTAAAACAATCTCTTTGAGCAATCAATTATGGGAGACCTATGTTAAAAACTTCTACTCTGATGGTGAATGCATAAATTTTTCTTTTGTATTTCTGACAACTGGTTCTTTATATTTTGAAAGCATTTTATTACGTCTTATGGTTTTGGAATTGTTTTATCTTTCTGGTGAATTGTCCATTATATTACTGTTATTCTTTTTAAATCTATTGATGAATTCTTCTCTTAGCTATTTTGCTTGATATTTTTGTAGCTATTTAGTCTTTTGTTACTATTTACTTGGTGTAGTTTTTTCCACCCCTTTACTCTTACTTTCTATTCTATATACTGTTTCTCTTGTAAACAGTATATAGTTAAAATTTTTTTAGTCCAGTTTGATAATCTCTATCTTT